AGTAACAGGCAGTATCATAATTGATATTGAGTAGATAGATATTTTCATACCTCTAGCCAGATAAAACCTATGATAGATCATTGCCTTTATCTACGCATTCACCATCTTTAAAGCTGATCTTGTATACTTTGTCACACAGTTGACAGATACTTATAAGGTTCCTTTGACTAATACTACATCTTCAATGATTAGCTCTCCAAGCTTGATGTCGGCTTTGCCGATTATTCTTCCTTTGTCTTTTCCTCTAAAAGTGACAGCTCCTCCATCAATTTGGGTTAAGGATAGGAATTTGTCAGCATCTCCGATCATATGTTGCGAGCATCAATTATTTAGCTACCATTTTTTGCTCAGCCTTTTTATAGAGAAAGATTTCATTTTTTTTTGGTACCCAGACAAACTTGGGTCCTTTTACGTTAGTGGACTTATACTTCTGGTGGATCTTCTTTGGCTTAGCTTGCCCATTTGGACATTCATATTTGTGATGACCATCTTTATCGCAGCTAGAACAATGATTTTTAGCAAAATGATTTTTGTAGTCTTACATATGAGGCTTTTTCTTGATTCTATCCTTTGTGCTAGGAAAATGATTTATTTCTTCTTCTTCTTCCTCATAATCCAAAATGGATTTATTATAATAAGAAATTTGAATTGAAAGAATGTGCTCGATTATCTTTGAACCAAGAGAAAATTTGGTGCAAATTTTAGACACATTCTCCTCAAGAGATACATGATCTTTCTTTGAAAGTTCTTATTCACCTTTGACGGTATTAAGTTCCTTTCTCAAATTGACGAGTTCCTCTTTGTGCTTTGTATCTTGGTTTGTGAGTTTTGAAACCTCTCTTTAAGTAAGGGCAAATGCCTTGTCATCTATTTCACATCACGTTTAATTGTGATGTAAGGGCACAATTCTTCTTTTATAATTAATGATTTGTTGAACCTTATTTCCTTTTTGTTTTTTTCCCTTCTTTTTTTGGTCTCAGTTTGGGCTGGTAGTGTCCGAAAATGGTGAGCAAGGAGAGGGAAAGAGAGAGGCGTAGCAGTGGTGGTGAAGCAGCGGCGCCGGTGGCTGTTTTGGCGGTGTCACAGTGGCTGGCGATGGCTGGAACGGCTGCTGGTCAGGCAAGGTGGTGGGGTGAAGCTCGACCGAATGAGAGGAACAAGGGAGGAGAGAGAGTCAGCAAGAGAGAATGAGAGAGAGAACATGATCTTAATTTTTACTAACCCCATTACCAACCCCACTACAAATCCAATGGTCCACAATCTATTCTCTTCCCCAAGCCAAGATTCAAGGGCCCATAATTTTTCTCCCAACAATTTCCCAAAATTACAAATGGTAACAAAAAATAAATAAGCAAGATGGGGAGGGACACAAACCAAAAAAAAAAAAATCGCACTACTTAACTATGGATTCATGAAGAAAATCCAGATGACATTCCTTCTACATAAAGGTCGAACATGTTCATCACCAAGTTCTCCATCATGAGATTTGCAACTTCTACGGCACATTATGTGCTTGAGCTTCAATCCCCGCAGAAAACACACAAAAAAACCAGAAACCGCCTGTTATCTACGACTTTTGATAAATGGGATTAATCATAACTTACTTACATTCTAAACCTGCCAAGTGATACAGAGATAGACCTACTGCTTATTCGTATAAAACATGCATCATCATAATTTAAACATGAAAAGCTAACCTTTCACACATTCCCCTCCTGCGTATTCATGTGCGTTCGCTATCATTCTCCTTTCCCCGATATAGGTGCTTCGCGACATTTGATAATTCCCTCAGTTGTTCAATTTGCAATTTCAAGATGTGTTTTTCATAAAGCTACTTTTCGATTTTAATTGCTCGGCAGTAGAATTCTTCCTTTTGTCTCTGAAAGATCATGAGTGTCAAAAAAGACTAACATGAAAAGATACGTATTTTGAACAAATATAAATAGAATACCTTGTGTTCTTCAGCGAGTTTCAGAACCCTTTCAATCTGTTGTAACTTTAAGGCAGCTAATTGGAGTGCACGATTCTCAAGGGCGTTCTGGTGATCTCTTTTCATTCTTTTGGTATCCGAAAAATCAAAACTGCTAAACCAAATTCAACTTGATCAATATGTATATTATGACAACTAAAACCAACAAATAGAACTGAAAACACCAAAGGGAAAAATTGTGAAAGAGAAAAGTGAGAAAACGAAAACACCAACTTTTCTATCCTCTAATGGAGAGAAAGAAGTGGGGTTTTCTTTTGTCTGCGATTGTCCGAGGCAAAAGCCCTCCTATTTTTGATCGAATTGAATAAGGGTGACGCCATCATTTTTTTGGGTCGTTGAAAGCCCTCCGCATCTCTCTCGTTGAGTCCAGATACACACACAGAGAGCGAGAAGGAGAAACAGCCACGTGGCGAAAGCTGTTATTTGCGACAGGGACCAAATCCTCCCTCGCTTCCTTCTTCGTCGCGCGAACCCTCTCTTCTCCATCCTCCGTCCCCCCGAGAGTGGCGGGCGGGCAGGGGGAGATTGGAGAGTTTAGTGGCAATGGAGGCGTTCAGCGCCCAGAATCCGGAGAAGATATTGATCATTTAGATGATTAGTTTTAACGTATACCCCACATTTATCTTGAAATCTATCTCACTAATCTGTTAATTATAGCTAAATACCAAACTAGACATAATTCTTGAATAATTAATTTATTTGCTAAGAGAAATGATCAGAAATATTTTAAATATAACTTCCCCCAAACAAAAATTTCATTTCCAATGGGCTTGAAAAATACTATTTTACTAACCAATGCAAACAGACAGCAGGCAGCGAGGATGCGTTCCTTATTTTTACGTGCCGGTGCCCACACGCTTCGTACTTTCAAATTCTCACTATATCTTTTTCTTCCCGATAGGAAGGAATATCCTCTAAGAGTTTTACATCCCAAGGACCCTGAGATTCGGACGAGGTATTGAATGTAGCCTTTTAAGGACTTGATTAAGTCCAAACTCAGCTACTTTAAGCGGGTGCACATTTAAGTCAAAGTCCCTTCCTTCTTTAAATGAGCTTTCTAGATGTCAAAGCATTCTTAAGCTCACCCATATTCCCCAGCTTGATGCATGCTGGTTGATGAATAATTTGCTATGAATCTAACAGATGCAGTTTATATTTTTTTACATTCAGCATTTAATTTGGGCCAATTTTCAGCATATATTTTCTGACGGATAGTTTTCTGCTGGAACTTCAGCTTAAGTGAATGTTACTATACATTGTTCATCGCTAGCTATATCTAAAGAAGCGCCCTCAGATTGAGATAGTCGACGAAGGGTTGGTTGCTCCAGAGAAGTTAGTGTATTCCGTCAATTTCTAAGTAGTGTATTTATCAACGATCATCAATTGACAAAAAAATTGATGATCATATTATAAATATCCTGATTTTGAATAATTTAATCATTATAATTATTAATTATAATGTGCATTTCCGATATACTCTTTAACAAGATCAACTTTATTATAATTCTAAGACATTCGTTTGCTTGAAATTGCTAATACAATAAATAGGGATTGTGAAAGTTTTGAATTTTCTATTTATTTGTTATTATGATGTCTCAAGCAAACTAGAAGTTGGACATGACTACCATTACCCATATCCTCTCTCCTGACAATTACGATGGTCGACAAGATTTCTCCTTCTAGATATTTATGAAATGTTGATACACAATTGGAGGGTTCACCAATGAACAATCAATACTAGTACCACTTGAAAAAGTCAGTATTTTCCCACAAAGGCAATTATAAAGTGGTACTAGTATATTTATAATAAAATGGTGAGATAATATCTTCATTTTTCTCAAAAGGCAGATGGATGAAAAAGTCAGGATTTTCCCACAAAGGGTTGAGACATTTAAGGAAAAATTCTAAATGAGCTTTCACACATGCACTAAGAAGCGTTTGCATGATAGAATCTAGTATATTCATTTGGATGGCGAAAAATCGTTGGATGTCCACAAACTTTTTGAATTGTCTTTTAAACCGGAGTCCATTAGACAAAATTCTAAGTTTGGAAATCTGGGTTAGGATGTCTCATCCAATGATGATATCTTTATCTGGTGAGCTAGAACTAAGGATTTTAGTGGTGAGAGAACATTGTGGGAAGAACTGAAAGGTAATGGGTTTGCTTTGGACTCTTGTGGAAAAAATATCTCCAGAAGCAGAATTAAAATACCGGGTGTATGGATTTCAATATTCTTCTAGAAGAATTTTGGTGTCAAGCTTCGAAGCGGCTCCAATCTTTGAGGCTACTAGTAAATCTGCTAACGAACTTAGTCTGTATATCATGCCAACTTTCAACAAAGAGCTCTAGTGCTGAGCCAAGCATGGAACTCCTGTTATCTTTCTGACCATTTAGGGTATGGAATATCATTAAGAGTAAAATAGTGTTTGGAGGTCGAAGCTCTAGAACGAGAGTTCTGATTATGAATGTTTACTATTTCTGGCTCAAATGAGTTTGATTCCATATCCACCTTAGGGGGATCGGCCATGAGATTAGCAGGTTTGGGGAAATTTGGTATCTCAGGGTCAGAAGGTGAGGTTTCTTATGAAGAAAAGGAGGAAAATTCAAAGTTGGAAAAGGTATTTTGCTAGGATGGATCAATTGTAGTAATAACTGGCAGCTTCGATTGGCATTGATCTCGCAAAAAAGCCTCTCATGGATTTGAAACCATGCTATGCGAGGGAGCAATTTCCTTGGTCCTGCTCGCTATCATGGTCCTCGCCATGCCGGAATCCCCCCAATGGCTCATCATGCGAGGAAAGCTGCTCGAAGCAAAGCGCATCCTCGCCAAGATCTCCGTCTCCAATGAGAAAGCTAAACTCCAATTTTAAAAATATCAAGACGGTTGCTGGCATCCGTCTAGAGTGGAATGATGACATTGTCATTGTGCCGAGCACTAGGGAGGGCGTGTGGTAGGATCTCTTCAGCCATCCGAGCCCACCTATCCGCTACACGCTCCTTGGCGCCATTATGATCCAATTATTCCAAAAGACCTTTGGAATTGGCATTATCCTCCTTTACATTACTCGTTTCATAGAGAAGGCTGGCTTCATGTCCTCCGACGAGAAGATCTTATTGACCATCCTAGTCGAAGTTGCAAAGACAATATGCATCCTCGTGGCCACTTTTCTCCTTGGCAAGCTCGGGCGACGACGGTTGCTATTGAGCAGCATAGGTGGGATGATTGTGTCTCTTGTCATCCTTAGAACAAGTCTTGTGAAGATCGACCAAATCGACACAAAGCATATCGACGACCCAAATGACATGAAGCAAATGTGGGTGGCAAAAATGTGCATCACCTCATTGTTCCTTTACATGGCCTCTTTCTCCGTAGGGATGGGACCTGTCACTTCGATTTTCAACTCTGAGGTATTCCCACTTAAGCTGCGAGCACAGGGATGCGCAATCGCCTTTGCTGTGAACCAAGGGGCGAGTGCACTGATGTCATCCATATTCTTAGTACTGGACAAGCCGATGCCCCTCGGCGGGGCTACCTTCTCATTCGCTGTGGTCTCCATCATAGCGTGGGTGGTCTTCTTCATCACAATGCCGGAAACTAAGGGCTGGTCTCTTGAGGAGACGGGCTGATTTTTTGGTTAACAGATCCAGCGAAGGTTTACGGTTAGCGAAATTGAAATGCAGGGGAACAACGGGGGGACGCGAACGAGGCAACGACTATTAAGGGAATAATTATAGGATAGGGGTATCTGACAAATATAAATCTAGTTGTTAGGGTATTTCTTTTTGAAAGATCATACACATATCATGCATAGCTCTTCTTCTTATCATCACCCATTTGACTGAATGTTGGAGTTAGTTTTAAATTCTCATCCGGCTCCATTTGACCAAGTCCATGTCCATCTTTTATTGCCAACTCCCGGAGTACCGTTGATTCTCTATTTGACCATCCATGATGAATCATTGGGAGCCATACTAGCCCAAATGAGATCAAGAGATGGAAGGGAGTGTGCGATATATTATCTTAGCAAGAAGTTTACCACATCCGAAATTTATTACTTCGAAGTTAAAAAACGTGTGTAGCCTTGGTATGGGTATTACAACTATTACGTCAATATACACTTCATTATCAAGTCTTGTTAGTGATTGAGAATGATTCAATCAACTACCTCTTGGAGAAGCTTGCTTTGGTTGGAAAATTAGTCAAGTGGCAATTTCTCATCTCCGAGTTTGATGTGCAAACTATGGCACAAAAATCTGTCAAAGGTCGAGCTATAGTTAATATGCTAGCCGAAAGTTCAAAGCAATCAGAAGGCCTTAATGGAATGGATCTTGCGGACAAACGCATTCTCTTGATTTCACATGACAAATGGATTATGTATTTTGATGGTGTCATTAACTTATCCGGTTCGGGCACTGGGGCAATCCTCATCTCCCCAATAGGTCAACATTATCCCGTGGCCGCAAAGCTAGTTTTTCCATGTACCAACAACACCTCGAAATATGAAGCTTGTATCCTTGGCTTACAACTTGCCATTGATTTGAAGGTTAAGAGATTACAAGTCTAAGGTGATTCCGCACTCATCATTCTTCAAACCGAAGGTGAATGGCAAACACGCGATTCAAAATTGATACCATATCACAAATTGCTCGGAGAATTAATTGAAGAATTTGAAGAGATATCTTTCGAGTATCTAACAAGGTCTCAAAATCAATTTGCCAATACTTTGGCAACCTTATCATTAATGTTACAAGTTATGGATGGATTAGACATTGATCCCCTCAAAATTTAAAACCCTTGAACGCCCGGCTTATTGCATGGCGATTAAAGAAGAATCCGATGGCGAGCCATGGTATTACGATATCATGATCCGATGGCGAGCCATGATATTACGATATCATGACCTATCTCCAAAAAGGCACATTTCCCCAAGGGAGTCAAGCACCCGATAGAAAGTATTTGATGAAATTAGCATCAAAATTCTTTGTGAGTGGAGATGCTTTTTATAAAAGATCCTTCGATTCGGTTTTGCTAAGGTGTGTGGATGCCAAAGGAGCCAATCAGTTGATGAAGGAAATACATGAAGGAGAGTGTGGCCCACACATGAATGGTCACCTCTTAGCAAAGAAAATCATGAGACTTGGATATTATTGATTGACAATGGAGACCGATTGCATTCAACACATGCGATAATGTCATTAATACCAAGTTTATGGGGACAAGATCAATGCTCCTCCAAGAGAGATTCTACGTGGAGGATTGATGTTATTGGACCCATCAATCCTAAAGCTTCAAATGGGCATCGCTTTATTTTGGTGGCCATTGATTATTTCTCCAAATGGATCGAAGCAAATTCATACGCCAATGTCACCACAGAATGTGACAAAATTCTTCCGTCGTGATATCATTGCTCGATATGGAGTTCCCGAAGCAATCATCACCGACAATGGATCCAATTTGAACAACAAGATAGCGAACGAATTGCTTAACGAATTTCACGTTCGTTACTTGAATTCTTCACCATATCGCCCACAAATGAATGGAGATATGGAAGCGGCAAACAAAAACATTAAGAAAATCTTATCGAAGACTGCTGAGAATTATCGTGATTGGCACCAACGATTGCCATATGCACTAATGGCAGATCGAACTTCAATCCGTACTTCAACTGGGGCAACTCCGTTCTCACTTGTACATGGAATGGAAGTTCTACCAGTGGAAGTGGAGATTCGTTCACTAAGGGTATTCTCACAATTGAAGCTATCCGAAACCGAATGGGTTCAACAAAGATATGAACAATTGAACATGAATGACGAAAAGAGGTTGAAATCTTTATGTCATGGACAAAGTTATCAAAACGAGTGGCGAAGTCCTTCACTCGCAAAGTTTGACTGAGGCACTTTGAGGTTAATGATCTTGTGCTAAAAAAGGTTTTGTCCAACACATTGGATCCTCACAAGAAGTTCACCCCGAATTATGAGGGCACATATGCTGTAAAGAAGGTATTATCCGATGGAGCCTTACTTCTTACCGAAATGGATGATCAAGAATTGCCAAATCTTGTAAATGCAAATGATGTCGAGAAATATTTTCCATGAATGAAAGGCCGTGAAGCCATTTTTCGAGCAAGACCAAGTCACTTTTAGGTCAGTTGCATCATGCATACCATGCATACATCGCATAAATGCATTTGTCCATTTTGTAGGTATCGAAACATTCTCAAGGAAATTGGAGGTGTTTTCTGATATGGAATCAAGCGGAAGAGTAAATTGTATAACTCCAATTTATTTATTTCCAATATAATTCTCTGACATCGTTTCCTTCCTTTTCTTAGGAAACACCACTCTTGCAGAGATTCACTCTTGCAGAGATTAAACTCAATGACGACGTTGTGTCAAGAATTATACATCGACATAATCTCCTTGCTATCAACTACCTATTGTGGAGTAAGTGAACAAAACTTTGGAAAAAATGTTCTTTGTCAACGTTTTTAAAAAATACCTTCCACAGTTTTTCAAAAGTTGGAAAAACAATTCCAAGTTTGAAAATATGATTTTGAAGAATTTGAATGATATCCTTCAAATTATTCATTCATACATTGGTAAGCACATCATGCATAAAAAATCCCCATGGAGGATAATTTAAACAAATGATTTTTTGGCAAAGCAAAAGAGAATGTTAGTCATGCCAAGTCAAAGCACTTGAGATGACAAAAGGCAAGCTCAATCCAAACACATCCCTATACACTTTTGAAAGTTGAGCGAAAAAACTAAACCTTTGTCTTAGGACATAGGATTTATTCACATTGAATACATGGATTGAAGTGATGAAAGGCATTTCATTTCTTTATCCTAAATACTTACGATATCTCTTGCTAGCCATTTTGAACCAAATAGGGAGAATGTTCAAAATACCTCCCGTCAAGAACCACCCCACATTGAAACAAATTAGGAGGTTATGGTTAATCATTTTTGGAGTAAAAAGAATAAGAAAGATTTTATTACTTTCACTTGCTTTTTTTTTTTTTTTTTTTTTTTTTTTTTTTTTTTTTTTTTTTTTTTTTTTTTTTTTTTTTTTTTTTTTTTTTTTTTTTTCCATAAAAAGTAAATCTTTTTTATTATTGTGTATTTTAATGTACAATTTTTAATACTAAACCTTCTTGTGGTAACTACAGGTGGATCTTGATGGAAGCTCAAAGCTTTCCAAAGTAAAGAAGAGCATTCTTTCCTCTACCTAAGCACTTATATCCTTTGCTTAACCAAGTGGATCTTTTAGTGTGTTCCTTTCAAAGCCCAAGTGGTGATTATCTCTGCACATTGGGGCAATGCATATGATTTACTAAGAAAATTTGAAAAAAATTCGAGAATATGTAAAGAGTATCTCGAGAGTCCTAAGAGCTCAAAAGATAAATACTATGAGGCATGAAAAAGCAGTGTGCTTGGTAAAAACAGGGCCGATGTCCATGAAAAAGAAAATGCATCAAAAGCAACATGGTTACGATGAAAACAAAATTTCAATTGCAAAAGATGCTTAGAAAAGAGCAAAGCTCTTGTGTTGCAAGAAAAAATGGACTCTTAAGACAAGTTTCAAGAGTCAAATCGCATCTAGATTGGATGATTTGGTAATGATACCAAGATAATCACCATCTTTTTAAAATCCCTTCTACAAAATTTTAAGCCTTTTGAGCCTCATTCGAATCGACATTACAACCCTTTTCAAATCTCTACCGATTGGGATGGTTTAAGTGAACATGAAGATTTCACAAAGAAGCTACCGCTTGAAGGAGTGGAAGCAATCATGTCTTATCTTATCTTTAAGGTTCTTGACTTGTAAACCCGATGAAGATATTGATGACACATCTTTCTTGGCCTCATAGTGACAATCCTTTGTGTAAGCCCATGACCAAACCTACATTACAGTCCTTCAAAAGACCGTTTTGATTGATCATATTGTATTTACCGCGAATATTTCCAAAGGCCTTTGGCATAAGTTATATGAGGTATCCCTAGTTATCAAAGTTGGAATCCCACATTAATGGATGGGAATAAAAGCTTTCATGAGAACCATGATAAGAAGACATTTTCGATTAAGCTACTTCAACTTGGCATTTTTAACCAACCCTTTTTGAAGATATCAAAATCATTTTGTTCAAGGTTTTCCTTTAAAGGAATTTTGACAAATTGATGACATTTACCAAGAGATTGATTGACAATTATTTGAATGACGTTCAAAGTTTTCATTTGATTAAATTTCTTGATTGATTGGTTATGCAATCTTGAATGATTCCTTTTTAATAGTTTTTCCAAGTGGATGCAGGTTAGTAGTTTCGGATCTTCAATATCCAAGTAATTGCAACTTGCAATCATTCTCAAATCGAAATTCCCTAAGTGGAGCGGATCTTTATTATCCTCTTCCTTTCTCAAGTCGACATGGTGAGCTTTCGCGCCCGTAACCTTTTCAAATCGGCATGATGTGCTCTCACAATCATGACCATTCCCTTTTCAAATTAGGCACGGTGAACTTTCGCACCCGTGACCTTTTCAAATTGGCATGATGTGCTCTCGCACTCATGACCATCCCCTTTTCAAAATTAGGCATAGTGAGTTTTCGCGCATGTGACCTCTTCAAATCGGCATGATGTGCTCTCGCACTCATGATCATTCCCTTTTCGAATAGACATGATGAATGTTAGTAACCGTGACCGATTCATTCCCTTTTACTCGAAATCCGTTGTTACACGGTAAGACCACTCCTTTTAGTCGAACCCATTTCGTATAATGATAAGACTATTCCTTCTAGTCGAAACCCATTTCTTATAATGGAAAGACTACTCCTACTCCTTTCTTTTCCTTCCTTTCATCTCCATCCTTTCTTTCCTTACCATTTACACTACATGGCCGAGAGAAAGAGAGATGAGAACATCAATGGTGAGATCAATACCAAGGCTCGAGGTAAGTTTCAAAGGTACATCCTCTAATCAAATGTCATTAATTTTGTTATTTTCCTTTTATCTTCACAGGAGTCGACTAAAAATTGCAAGAATCATTTGATCTTTGAGAGGAACCTCTTTGAACTTCCTCTCAAAGAGGGGCAACTATTGACACCTGCTTTTTGGCCGACGCATATTAAAAGGTAAAGGCTTGAGATTAGGGTTTCCGATCGCAACGGAACCCAATCCTCAACCAAAAAGAGTCATTTAGCATTTGAATTAGCATTAGCCATTCACTTCCTAACTTTTTGCATTTCAATTTCAAAAAATTAAAGAATTGACTTTTGAGTTGACTTTTTTGTCAAACTTTGATCAAAAGTCAACTCAAAGTCAAATTTTGATTTTTTGCATGAAAAACCCCAAAGTAGTGTCAATTTCACTTTTGTACAATCAATTTTCAAAACATTCAAAGTTTGACCCATTAATTGGCATTATAGTATATAAGTACTAAAATGTTGACTTTTGATCAACACTTTGTCCAAAAAAATTGAAAAAAATTCAAAACAATCTATATCAATTTCTTTTTAGCTTTTCACTTTGGTATCATCAATTTTACAAAAATCGATTTAGAAACAACTTTTTCCCAATTTGCGGACTTTGTTCAAATCAACCAAAAATGAAATTAATTCATTTCTATTCATTTTTTAGAATAGTTTCATTCACGACATTTTATCTAGAGGTCGTATTGCATTCAATTTTCAAATCAATTTTATAATTTCAAGCCAAGGTCGAAAACCCTCAATTTGAGCCCTAATTAGGGATTTTGGTCGGTTCTTCATTATTTGCGTAATTGAGACACGGATAAACCTAATTTCTTATATGAAACTCAAATCCGAAATCAATTTTGGAAGATTCACATTAATTTGAGTCAATTTGACCAATTTAGTGATTCAATGATTGAGAAATCCAAAAGTAATTGGTCTAATTAATACAATTCAACTTGACCCACTCTAGACTAAAATACAATTTGTTGAACTGAAATTCAATTTGGCTAATTAGACTTCAATTAAATTCATTAGTCTAGTTTGGCAATACAATTTAACTCAAATTGAAGAGCAATTCGGCCAAACAAGTTAAGATTGGTCAATTTGTACTTGTATTTCAAATTGGTTCAATCCAATTTAATCAAATTCAATTCAAATGAGTCTATCAATCATAATAGGGATGAAATTGCATAAAATTGAAACCAAATTGAGTCAAGAACTGAACCGATTCTGCCCAGTCGAACTCGGGTCAAACCGGTTCAACCGGTTCAACCTGATTTGACCAGAATTGACCCGGCCGATTGGGCCAACTGATTCTCGACCACAATTCCGGCGGGCTGAGGCCACCTCTCTCTCTCTCTCTCTCTCTCTCTCTCTCTCTCTCTCTCTCTATGTGCTGGAAATTACAAAATTCCCCTAAGTGAAATTACCAAAATATCCTTACTTAAAGGTTAAGCAGAATTATTTAAGGATTAAGCCAATAAATCATGGTCATTCATTTAAAATTGCATCATGGCCATCCATAGTACCATGTCACTTAACCTTAACCCCTAAAGAATATTCTCAATCATTAAGGGAACATTTTAGGCCATTAGATCAATCCAATAACTAGAATTCAAACTTGAGGGAGGTATATAGGGATTTTCCCATCAAAAATCAAAGGGGGGCTCATTTTTCATATTATTCTCTCTCTCTCTCTCTCTCTCTCTCTCTCTCTCTCTCTCTCTCTCTCTCTCTCTCTCTCGGCTGAACCTTCTCCCGCCCGGTTCGACCGATCGCCGACCGGTTCTCGGCGTGCCGCCGCCGTCCCCCGCGGTGTCCCAAGGCCGGTCGTAAGACCAGATACCACTTCCGATGGCCGGAGCTCCCCAATCGGCGCGGTTTTCTCTCTCGGTTACATCACCGACAACCTAGCCGGTGGCCTCTTCTCACTGGTTCAACCGGCGATTTCGGCAGTCCGACGACCTTCCACGACGGTCCAAGACCTACGGCTCCCTACCTTAGCCCTTTCCCGAGTTCATGGTGACCGGAATCTCTTCAAAGAGTCACCGGAACACTTCTGTTCACTTGATTTCTTGTTGATTGCTCATTTGAGTAAACCGATTCAATTCTCACTTTGATTTGCACACTTTGTTCTCAAAGGTTCGTCGAGCTTTCCGAAACTACTCCGTGGTGTCCTTGAGCTAAATATGGAGACCGGATCGCTCAGTTGCACATCAAAGTATCATTACACAAGATAAGTTCGATTTCGTTATTCTCGAATCCTGAAGAGTCAGTATGCTTGTGATGCTGATATAACCTCGAAAATGTCGAAATCTCGCGAAGCTTTAAACTAGAGAATCGTAGAATACGTCTTAAACTTCGATTTGATAGGTTGTACGCCTTGAATGGACATCGTTTGCATGGTTAAAACTCCTTCGAAAGTTGATATCAGAAGCTGTAATGTTGATAATATGTTCTTATGTTCTAGGCAAAAACCGAATTTTATAAAAAATTTGGGGGCTTTTCAACAAAAACTCAAAAAATGAAAGTTGTTAGAAACAGGAAATCCTAACTGCCTAAAAATTTTCATGCGGTTTGGATAACGTTTGTTATTTTTCCCGCATTTATTTTGAAATTCCTAACAGAACCGAGTCCAGTCTGTCATTCCGAGTTAAACTCCAATTTTCGAAAAAATCGGACGGGAATTGTGAAAAACAGTCTTCTTAACTTTTGATCATCACGATCTAAGCTTTCTAAAGACACTTGATTTGCATCATTTGGACATCATTAAGCTGATTAATCGCATTTAAACAGAAAGGGTCCGAATTTGATAATAATAACCGAACAAGTGATCCTCTAAAGAGGCCACTTCCCATTACTTGATTGATTGAGATATAAGGCTGATTGGGCCTAAGCGCATGCCTTTCTCATTGTTATGCATGAGATTGTAAATGTATGTCTAGGCCTGATGCATGTTCGGCGGATAGACCATGCCGAACACTTCGACCTGACTTTAGAGGTTAACCGATATGAGTCACCGTTTTGTGAATACATATGGTAGCTCGTTATCGTTAACCATTAATCAATCAATGCTAGTTGATTAAGTGAATGGAATGATCAGAATGCATGAAAATCAAAGGCCGAACTCGAGGCCCGTTTTAGAGTTGATGCTTGAATGCTTGTCCTTTCCTTTATTTGAGTGTCATTTGAATGTATGGTATGAATGTAAAACCGACACCTATGAGGCTGTCCATGGAGAAGATGGCCAAACAACTTCGAAGATGGTGGCTAAAGACTGATGTCCAATCCGGTCTCGATTTGTACACAATTCGTGTTACCTAACCATGTCTCGGGTCTTTTCATTCGTGTTGTATTAAACACCCGACGAGTTGCGGATTTTTCTTTCCTCACACTTAGAATAGCTCGTCATTTCAATACCTTGTGTGTTTACACATCGTCATTTCAATACAAATTGTTTGTTTCTTTCCTTTCCTAGACTAAGATAGGACTAGTTTAGAACTTAAATGGAAAACAAAAAAACAAAATGCATGATCACCTAGTGGACTAAGACTTTGGCATGAAAATGGTAAAAACAAATGCATAACTTAGATAATAACCATGATAAGTTTAGCGCCACCGAAAAGGCGTTAGTGGAAACATTAACGTAAGCTAACCCCAAACCCATGATCTTTGGTTTTCGTGGAAACTGAAACGAAACTCCCGCGTTTCAGTTGGGTATTCTAGGCGACCCCCGACCTAGGCTAGTGGCGACTCCTAGGTTGGGTAAATGTTCAATGTGATTTTGAAACTTTTGACATATGTTCAATTTAGTCCCATGACTAAATAATGCAGGGACTAGATGAAATCGAGGGATATAATAATCCGGAGACTAGATTGAACATTTACCAAGAATTCAAGAACCAAATTGAACAAATTAAAAATTCATAGACCACATTACACATTAGGCCAAGGTTCATGAACCATTTAAGTAATTATCCCTCAATTGAATGGCACCTCAAAACTATTGCATAATTCATTCAAAGCAACAAAATGGAGAGAGCTACCTAGAAACATTACTTAACGACAAGAAAAATATCCTTTCTTAGAAATGTTTAAAAAAAGAAAAAAAAATGGGGGAATTTTACAGAACCACTCATCTTCCTCTTTCCTTCTCCAGCGCAACGCAAAAAACGCAGAGTGAAAAAATAAAAGGAGTACCACTTTTCTGTCTATGCAACTGAAATTTCTAGGCAGCATAACAAGCAAGCTCTCCTCTCACACATATAAGTAACATCTGCTACTACTTATTCTCCACTTTTCTGAGGTTTCAAAATCCTCCGTCAAATGGCTTTCTAGACCGAACAAGCAGCCATATAGGGGAAAACATATGTGATACTTAATCCAATGATATTAGTTGCTCTCTCTCCTCCCGTGAGCATGAGAGACTAAATATAGACAAATAGTATATGTAAGCACTAAGAAGGAAGAGAGTACGTCACAGTAAGGCCGTGAGGCATTCACAATACAAGAGTGCCAATTTTCCATACAAACTTCTCTTTTCTCACATGATGGTAATCAAATTATTTATAGTCAATCACACCAGAGGTAAAATGCTGCTTTCGGAGCTTGTACTGTAAGTTTTCATAATTGTACGCAATGAGAAAAAGTTCTCCATATTTGTAGGCAGCAAAACCCACAAACTGAAAATGATAAGCAGGCACTCAGTATTATTGAAGAAGGTTCTCGAAGAAGTATTAAACGCTAGTTTAAAAGTCCGACAGAGCAGCTTACCTGACCCCTCGATGCCAACAAAGCTCCAAATTCCAAAACCTTGTTCAGATCAAAGCTGTTACAGTAAGGTAAAAGAAAAATCAGAAAACGAACAATATATTTGTACAGAAAATGCATACGCGTATATTTGTTTCTAGCACTTTCCCAGTCCATAACCACTCCCACCACAGAAATCACTAAAGCCAAACCAGAAAAAGAATATAAGAACGTATGCAACCTTTGAAATGAAACGCTTGACACAAATTTACACTGATAAGGCAATGCCAGGATGTTTCCGAGAGTGCCATCTATCCCAATCTCGGACATCTTCATCTCAACGGCAGCAAATAACTCATTCACAGATGTGTGCTTAACATTCTGAGCAATGGCGCCTATTGCATGAGCTGCAGCAACCCTCGTATCCCAATTCTTACTACGAAGGTATTGAGCAACCTAATCAAATAATTAAACTCACATAAGCGAATGAGAATCATAAGGTGCAAAAAACATTAGCACTTCTTGAAAAACTAATATCACAGCTGTAAGAAATGAAAATATTATTACTATTTTATGGAACATATCATACTTTAAGGATCTTATTTAACTACTCGCCAAACCTTCACCTAGCCTAGCACTTCCTGAAATCCTTATCATTACAGCACACGTAAATAGCATCTGTCAACTACCATCTACGGCCAAAACCCTAGCACATGGCAGCCTCAGACACTGCAGCATCAAAAGTTAATGATACCAAACAAACATTGGGTTTCTGCACCAAAAGGAGAGCCCCTATCTGGACATCTTCCTTCTCTCTTGTTTTCAATTAAATTTATGTCGCGGAAATCCCATCATTTTACTTACAAAATACAGCGATATTCATGCACATCCCTACTCTGCACATTAGCCTCCGCACTACCTCAGAGCAATATCAAAGAGCACGATCTAAAAGAGCTATTCCCAAAACTTGTCATCATGCCCATATGAAATTTCTAATGCAGAACGCCAAGCTAACAGCAGCGAGATATATCTTCCTCCACGATTAGATTAGAGGAGTTGTCCCAATGGCATTGCAGAGAAAATAAAAATACCTTCTTTAAGAGAGAGGCCAAGTCCCGGGGATGAGACTTGGCAATATCTCCAATCTGGCGAGCCGCGGCAAGCCTCGTGGACTGAGTCGAACCAGCTAGAAACACAATTTCGTTAAGGGAAAAAAATGCAAAAATTCACCCAATCGACAGCCACGAACCGCACAAACACCAGATCCAAACAAGCACGAGACGAAAAGGATACTGTCGAGAAGAGTGAGCAGCTGATTGAGTCGCGACGATTGCTGAGCCATAGCCGCCACACCACACGCCACCACCGCAACAATGCCTTCAATCCGAAAGCCGCGGCTGCATCCTCAATCATCCAATCACCCCCGATTCGCGGGATCCCCAGCAACAACGGCGGCACTCGGTATCAAAACGGCAGCTCCGCGCCACCCGCGTGGGCACTTCGCATCAGCGGCCATGGAGCCGGCGAAAGCGCGACCGAGTCCCCTCTGGAACGGAGGGGCCAAATTCGGATCGGGGAGCGAAGCGGAGCGGCCTGGAGCACAGAGAGTGCTAGTCGACTCAGTTTCTTAGCAAAAGCAGCAGCCAAGTATGCTAGAAGGAGGCGTGATTTTAAGCAGGAAGCAAGCAACTGCAGTTAATAATTAGCGTAGTGTCAGAAAGCAATCCAAAGGTTTAGAAGAGCATGAATTCCGCATAGAATGTCTCTGCTTTCAAGTTCGTCGTATTAGACATTCATATATCTCTAGGCAAAATCAGCAGGTCAACATAAGAAAGCAATGAAACAACTAAAGCATCCAGGAAATGTCAGCTTCATGTCAGGAAAGGTCCAAATCGCTCCATTGGATAGCTCTATCTCCTCTAGTAAAGCACAGTCCTACATGAACTTGCATATCAGCCACCTAAAGAACGTGACATTATCTAAGTTGCCAAAAGCAATGGTTCACATATTGTATCAACACTATTCATAGCAGACACCGATTAAACACCCTTGATCATTGTAAAGCCTTGTGCCTCCATAACAATTTAGATATATATATCACATATTCATGAAAATTGATGTGATGTAGGACTGCTTGAAGAAATGATACAAAGTCAAGTAATATTGTAGACGTGATCAGTGCAAGATTACTTCATAAAAGTTTGCCCAGTGTTTTGCAATGGAGATGGAAGGTTGCAACAGTGCGCGAACCTTTTCATAGAAGTAGGGGTATTCTAAGCCATGTAGCGTCATGAGGATGAAGAGACTGCTGAGAGCCATGACACTGACAACTCCACCTATGTCGTACAATCTCGTCAAGAAATCACTGCAAAATTTCAGTTTACAACTTAAGTTTCTCGAGCATGAAAGATGTCAAATTCAAGAGCAAATAAACAAAAAATTCCGGAAGCAAACTCATAAAAACATGATGGGACCAGAACCTGAGTGTCCAAGGCTAAGCATGTCATTTATTTTATAATAGAACTTTGGAAGCACAGTCAATACAACACGCCATCCATCAGTCAAACCTCAGAAAAGAAATATGACCATGGGTGATAGTTTAACTAATGCCAATACTAGAGATGATGAAGGAAACAAGGTTTTTGCTGGTAATTCCAGCAACCCACACAAGAGGTCTTACTAAAACATTATGGAACAATTTACCAAACTACCATTAAATGTCGACCATAATATAAGGTTTGTGAGCCAAACTGAGCAAATTTTCTGCGCTCCTACCTTCCTCATTCAGACTGGACAGTTAAGCTACAAGTTATTATTTAGAGGCAGAGCAATCAACAGATCCATTGCAACGACTTTGCGATTTATGGAACTGCAGATCACAGCTCCTGGAATCCTCTTTCGTTCGCCACACCCACAAAGTACAACGCAAACACATCCAATGAACATGCCAGCAGCTTCAACACACACATACTCAGCAAGCCCACATAATACAGACGTTACAGCATTCACTAGTGGATATCGCACATGCATTCATTAGCAGCTCACACAGGCCCATGCTTGCTCATTCTCGCACAGAACTCAACTAAAAACCACTTGCCTAGTGCGCGCATAGCACTCTCTCACACATGACAATTTGATCAACTTACCCACTCAGCTCACACCAAGCATCCAGCATATACCAGCAACCATATAGAACACCCATTTTGCGTATAACACATCCGCCAGTCCATATTCAAAGCTTGCCTACCTCCGTAACATCTTATCCTAGCTTGACGTACACACAGAGTTCACCAACGACACCTGATCAACACACCATCCATTAGCAGCTCACACAGGCCCCATGCTTGCTGTGTGAGAGAGTGATGTTTTAGTTAAGACACGCAAATGGATGAACTCATATCGGCGAATGGCGACAGACATCAACTCGGAACCTTTCCATGTGGAGACACGCAATCCCGCGATAGATCGCAAGGCAACGGCGGATCAACAAGTAGGAACTCAACGACGACACAACAGCGACTCTAGTTGCTCAGCGAACGCTACTTACTTCCACGGAGCCGAGATTCTGCAGCAGAGCAAGAGAGAATGGGATGCGAACCGGTTCGATCAGACTGGGTCCGAAGAGGCACGAGGCCGCAGCACATCGCCCGAATCCGGGACGTGAAGACGCCGCGAGCCCGTCGCGCGGGCGGTTCTGACGGCACAATGGACGACCTCGATCGATCAACGGCGGCGACGCCGCGGCTCGACAAGGGTGGCCAAGAACGGCGTCGGGGATCATCATCATCATCATCATCATCATCATCATCTTCGACGGAGGGAAGCGGGGATTAGGGGGATTCGGGAAGGACCGCTGAAAATGGCGACGGTTAGGGCAAAAGGGGGGATGGAAGAGCTCCTCCTCCTCCTTCTTCGTCGTCGTCGAAGCGTTTTCCCTCTCTATCTCTCTCCCCCGCTCGCATCTGATAATATAAGCTCCCGAATTTTCTTGTGCATGTGTATTTTCCAACCCCAAAAAAAGGCAAAAAAAATAAAATAATAATGAATGAAATTATTATTGTTCTTCTTTTTTTTAATTTGTTAAATTATCCAAAGCAAATATTTTCGTGGCACGAAATTTCTTTGCATCCGAATATAATCTTTGTATAGGATTCGTACTTAGGTTCCTTTATCATTAGTAATAATTTAATAAATGATGAGGATTAGTGGTGTGTATTTCGCTTGGACTTTTTGCTTTTTTTATTGCGATGGCAAATTCTTCTTGAATTCAAGACAGCTATTTTTTTCAATTAAATATTCGAGACACGGGTTATATATGAGGACGAAATATAATATCGTATAAGGAATAAAATTTGACGAATTATGTATAGGATATAGTTAATAACCGATTATTTGTTAAAAATAACATCATATAAGGAATAAATAATGACAGATTGTGTACAAGATATAATTAATAACCGATTATCTGCTATAGGGTCGAATTTGTTTTTTGCATTGTTAAACTGAGGTTCATCAAGAAATTTTTGAAAGAAATCGAACGAATTTAGGGATAATGACACAAATGGTCCTGAATTTTGGCTAAATATGCAATGTGCTTCCTAAACTTTTAATTTATTCAATGTGATCCTTGAATTTTACTCCAATGTGCAATGTAGTCCTTGAACTTTTAAATTGTTCAATATGATCCATAGATTTTTGGTATATGTTCGATTTAATCTCTAAACTATATGAAAATATTAAATGTTGTCCTTTTATTAATTAAGCTTACGGACAAAATTGATCATTTCTATATAATTCAAAGACCACATTAAACAATTTAAAAGTTCGTAGATCATATTACATATTAGGCTAAAGTTAGGGATCACATTGAAGATATTAAAAATTTAGCGACTATATTGCACCTTAGGTCAAACATCAGAAATCATTTGTGTCATTTTTCCTTAAAATTTATTATGGTTAATACCACAAAAAACCCCAAACTGGTATACCTATGACAAATTTACTCCAAACTATTTTTTTTACCACAAAAAACCCCAAACCAGTATACCTGTGACAATTTTACCCCGAACTAATTTGACCACCAAAAATCTAAAATTGGTCTATCTGTGACAAATTTATCTTCCGTTAAATTTTATTGTCAAATTGCTAAGTTTGATAGCACGTGGTAGTTGACAGGTGTACCAGTTTGGGGTTTTACCCCTCTGTTTGTCACAAGTTTATCAATTTGTGATTTTTCGTGATATTAATCCAATTTAACGGGTACTAACGAAGAGTAAATTCGTCACAAATGTACCAGTTTGGGGTTTTTAGTGGTCAAAAAATTAGTTTGGGGTAAAATTATCACAAGTATACCAGTTTGAGATTTTTGGTGATCAAAAAATTAGTTTGAGGTAAAATTATCACAAGTGTACCAGTGTGGGGTTTTTAGTGGTCAAAATAATAGTTCGGGATAAATTTGTCATAGATATACCAATTTGAGATTTTTGGTGATTAAAAAATTAGTTCGGGGTAAAATTATCATAGGTATACCAGTTTGGAGTTTTTCGTGGTATTAACGCAATTCATTTTACGTTAAAATGAATGGATTGTGAACAGTCAATAGACGATCTGGGCCTCTTAGATGAATTTTCAATGGTATTAATCTTTTTCAATCTACTACTTTATTCTTGCTTTTTACCTTACCTTTAGGAATTCGCAAGCAACTACCGAGACTACGACGGTTAGGGCAAACAATGAAGCTCCTTCTCTCCTATTTCTCTTCGTAGTCGTCGAAGGACTCTCTCCCTCTCTCGCATATGATGATATAAGCTCCCAATTTTTTTATATGCATTTGTCTATTCAACCAAAAACGGAAAAAAATAATAAATAAAATTATCCTTTTTGATAAATATTGAAATTATCCAAGCAATAATTTTCGTGGCACAAAATTTCTTTAAATCTGAATATAAGCTTTTATAGGATTCATAATTTCTTATTATGTATCTTCCATGCAATCTTCACAAAATATTTGTACTCTTCGTCCTTGTGAGTTAGAAACAATACCCAAGTGAATCTAAAGTAATCATCGAAAACAACAAGATAGTATCTACTTCCTCCAAGACTAATATTTCTTGTAGGTCCGAAGATCCACGTGGAGAAGCTACAAAACTCTGTTGATAGCAATAGTGTTTATGGATTTGAATGTACTCTCCATTTGCTCACCTAACAAGCATTCATTGCGTAGCTCATTCTTCTCATACCTCATTCTTGGAAGACCACATACCAAGTCCTTTGTTGCTAGCTTAGAAATCTTCTTCACACTAATATGACCTAGCTTTCTGTGCAGAAACTCTTTCTTTTCTTTACTAGATATTAAGTAACAGGCAGTATCATAGTTGATATTGAGTAGATAGATATTTTCATACCTCTAGCCAGATAAAACCTATGATAGATCATTGCCTTTACCTATGCATTCACCATCTTTAAAGCTGATCTTGTATCCTTTGTCACACAGTTGACAGATACTTATAAGGTTCCTTTGACTAATACTACATCTTCAATGATTAGCTTTCCAAGCTTGATGTCGGCTTTACCGATTATTCTTCCTTTGTCTTTTCCTCTAAAAGTGACAACTCCTCCATCAATTTGGGTTAAGGATAGGAATTTGTCAGCATCTCCAGTCATATGTTGCGAGCATCAGCTATTTAGCTACCATTTTTTGCTCAGCCTTTTTATAGGGAAAGATTTCATTTTTTTTTGGTACCCAAACAAACTTGGGTCATTTTACGTTGGTGGACTTATACTTCCGGTGGATCTTCTTTGGCTTAGCTTGCTCATTTGGACATTCATATTTATGATGACCATCTCTATTGCAGATAGAACAATGATTTTTAGCAAAATGATTTTTGTAGTCTTACATGTGAGGCTTTTTCTTGATTCTATCCTTTGTGCTAGGAAAATGATTTATTTCTTCTTCATCTTCCTCATAATCCAAAACGGATTTATTATAATAAGAAATTTGAATTGAAAGAATGTGCTCGATTATCTTTGAACCAAGAGAAAATTTGGTGCAAATTTTAGACACATTCTCCTCAAGAGATACATGATCTTTCTTTGAAAGTTCATATTCACCTTTGACGGGATTAAGTTCTGTGACATTCTGAAATCCGACTCACTTGGGATTTATGAAATGAATGGTTTATGGACGTGCTTGTAGTGAGATCTCGCCCGGAATTGATCACTTCGGGAATACTAACCGTTAGGGAAAGGCTAATTAGGGATTTAAATTCGCGCGACCAAAGAACTCGATCGTGAACCGACTTTCGATCATGAAAATTGTCGAGGTGACATTTTGAGCCAATATAGGCCGATTCAAGGATAGCTAGGGATCAGTTCGCCATTGTCATACGAGTGGATCGCGGGTGATTCCGCTTGACCACGAAATGAATTGACGAATGACCCCAAACCTATACCAAACGATCGTGCCCGTCGGAACTAGCGATCGATCCTCGCGATTAAGTGACAACCGAGGTCGTCACGACCCAAGTGAACTTGAACGTGGCTTGATTCAGTATCGGCCACGGGTCAAAAGTGCGAATTTCCCCAAAAGCCACCCGTTAGTCTGAGATATGCTCAAGTTGCGTTATTTAAAATTTAGTCATTAATTATAGACCAAGTTGGACATTGGAAATTTAGAAAGTCACGACAGAACATTTGGACGATGTTGTTATTAGCATGATCAACCTTAGAATTGTCCGAATCCTTAAGAAAAATCGAATTTCGACGAGAAATGAAAAATGACCATTTTACCCCTGGAAGTTTGTTAAGGCCAAGTGTAAATGGGGAAGGGTATTTTGGTAATTTTACCCTCATTTTAGAAATGACAATTTTTGGACAATTTTGCCCTTGGACTTTTTGGGAAATTCCCATTTTACCCTTGGATATTTTGGAAAAGATTCGATCTCGACCGTTGATCTCAAGATAAGAACGGATCGTGGCCGTCAATTTGAAAATAGAGAGAGGGGCAAGATGGTCATTTGCCAAAAGGGGGTCAATTATTGGTTTATATATACCAATTTCTCTCTCTCCCCCCTCTCATTTCTCCCTCTCTCTCTCGGCACACCCCCCCACCGACCGACCGCCTCCTCTCCCCCTTGGCCGTACTGCCGCCGTGCCGGCCACCGTCCGACCGTCGCCGCCCGTCCGATCACCAAGCCGTCCCCTCATCACCCTCAAGCCGCCGTCCCTCTCTCCCTCTCGGCCGATCTCTCTCTCTCCCTCCCGTGGCCGTGAGTAGCCGGCCGAGCAAGCCGCCACCGCCGTCGCCGATCGCCGCCGATCAGCTGGACCGCCGCTGCCACCGCGTGACCGCCGGCTCATCACCCTCTCTCTCTTACTTGGACGCGCTTAGGATTACAAGTAAGTTACAATCTAAACCCTATTTAGGATATCGAGTATTAACGGACTCGTTTAGACGCGGTTTAGGGTAGTTTAGGGGCTGATTTGGATGAGGGGTCTTAGGGATGAAATTGTGGTATTTTGGTGGTAAATTATAGGCCAATTAAGGGCTGTGAATGATTGGTTTGAATGCTGGAAAATTCTGTTTGGCGCGTGGAATGGATAGTTTGATTCGGCAATTAATTGCGTGAAATTGCCGTGTAATGCCATGATCGTTGTGCTATGGTTTTTGTGATGAAAAATGGCATGTTATATGATGGTTGTGGCATGGTAGTTTGAACCTTGTGGAATGAATTTTGAGGGCTGAAGTTCGGTGGTTATCAACAAGGACTCAGATCCTTGAAGTTTGGGTTGA